GATCTGAAAGGATTTCTCCATCTTTGTTTTAATTCAGTGGGGTGAAAAATATAAAGCTTGCTAATTTTCTCTACCTAGTAGATAAGTAACCACCACTAATTTCAGAAATTTTTATGAGTTATCTCAATCCTTAAAATAACTCTAGCTGATCAGTTTAGACTACCCATATGCTGAAACCCTTTAAATAGCTCATCTTGGTCCTCTAGACTCGTGGCCACTGGCATGCATGTACTTTAAATGAATTAACTAAGCCATCCTACAAATACTTGAGTCTATATTTATAGAAGAGTCTTAACTATTAAAAGGACAGAATGAGCTAGGCAGTGGTGGCACATGCCTTTAATCCCGATACTTGGGAAGCAGAGGCAGGTGGATCTCTATGAGTTTGAAGCCTACAAAGAGAGTTCCAGGACAGCCAAGGCTACTTAGAGGAAAGTAAGTTGTCTCAAAAACAAAAGCAAACAAACAAAAGAAAAGGCAGGATGAAAAAAATAATGAAGACACTTTCCCTGTGGCTTGTTTTGTCCTGTGCAGTCTTGGTGATGGGAAATGGGTACAATCAGTCAACATGCATTGGTTCCAACTGTAATGAATGTTATAGAGCAAGAGAAAATGGGGACATGAGAGGACATGTTATATCTGATCAGAAAGTGCCCCAGGTGTCGAGACATTTTAACCAGTCAGCTTAACTCAAAACTCAAGGGTTCGAGATTCCATGATGGCGGAGTAACGACATGGTGGCAGGAATAACTGAGTTTACATATTGGTCCACAAGCAAGAGTCAGGGAGAGCTAGTTGGGCATGGTGGGAATGTTTTGAAACTTCAAATTCTACCTTCCATGACATACTTCCTCCAACAGGGACACACTTCCTAATCCTTTCCAAACAGTTCCACCAACTAGGACCAAATATGAGACTATGGAGGGCATTTTCATTCCAGTCACCATATCTTTAAAGCATATGTTGCTTCCCAGTGACCCTGAGCTGCTCCGGACTGTCTACTGGTGTCATTTGTGGTGGGAACATTGGCAAAGCCACATCTGTGTCTGGAAAGAAAGAAACTGAAGTTGAGCTGTGTAGGCAGTAACTCCTGTGCATGGGATTGAAGCCCAGAAACAAGTCTCATTGTCAAGGTTCTGGCGTTTTCTCCTGGGTTGTCAATATGTGTCTTTGTAGTGGGAACCTAGTAGAGTCATTGTATCTAGGCTAAACAGTAAAATGTATGGGTTGTTTCTCACTGTAACTAGAGTGACTGCTGAATGTATCAGTGTTTGTGGAAGGTACCTAGACCTGGATGGAATCATAGTAGAAAACAGTGATTGTTTTCTACGATGTATCGAGTTATTTTTTTGAAGGAGCTTTCCATCCTTTGCTTAACTTTGGTCCCAAGGCTCTCCATGCACACTTGGAGGTCTTGAATTATTGGGTACTGCAAATGGTACACAATAAGGACTAAAGGTTGTGGGGATGTCATGATTTCCTTCAGAGAACAGATAGAATAGATCAACGGGGCTTCTGTATGAGGAACTTGTTGTCCCCCCAAACACAACATTTGTGTCCAATTAATAGATATGCTTCTGAATGCAAGTTTGAGATTCAGTTCCCAGAAACTGTTCCTTCCTGCTGCTAGAGAGCATAAAATTACATTCTGGGGTGACTTTCCTTCTTTGAACACCTGACATGTCTTTTTATTTATTTTGTATTTCACGCTTGGTAGCCTTTTTTTTTCTTCTTTTTTGAGATAGGGTTTCTCTGTAGTTTTGGAGCCTGTACTGGAGCTCTTTAGACCAGGTTGGCTCGAACTCACAGAGATCCACTTGCCCCTGCCTCCCAAGTGCTGGTATTCAAGTCGTGAACCACCACTGCCTGGCTTGGTAGGTTATTTTACTGGAAGTTTGCCATTACATTCAGAACCATCTTCTGCTTAGGAGACTTCCCTCAGACCCATGTATGAGAGAAACAGGATGGTGCACCAAGGCAAGATGCAAAGAACTCTTCCCACCTTACCTTCCCAGGGCAGACCAGGCAGTCCATTTCATCCTGTTTGCTGGAGAAAGGCCCCAGCAAAATGACCTAACTGAGAGAAGCATCTGTCATTGCTGGTGAGGGTTTGGTTCTGGACCCACTTGCAACATCTCAGGCCTGGTGGTAAGCTACCTGGCTATGCAGGTTTAAAATCATGTCCTTTAATCACTCCCTTTGCATTGTGTGGTCCAGCCACAGTGATCTGAGTCTGAACTGAGGCTGTGAACTGCCTATCCGGCTGAATGAGGGTGTTGCTGTTATCTCAGTGTATGGGAGGTAAATGTTTCTACGGCAACCAAGTGACCTTTCATGAAGAACAGTAGTGGGACATCAAAGTTTTCAGGCAAGGTCCACCATGGATTCCCGCTAACAGCATTCATTTCTATCTCAAGCACTCCTGCTTTCTCCTGAACAACGTATCATGTTGTCTTAGCTCGTTGCTCAAGAGAAGAGTGTGCTTGAAAGCCCCTTCCATTCTGTACTTTGTCTTGGATGATTTTAATGTGTGTTATTTTTGTTTTAGTCTTCTATAACTTTGTGTACAATAGTTTATTTATTTGAGAAAGGATCTTGCTATGTACTCAATATGTAGTCTCCTTGAACTCCAATTTTTGATGTACGTCAGTGTGACCCTGAGTTCCTGATTTTCCTGCTTCCACCTCCCAAGCATGGAGATCATAGGTTCCTTGTTTTGCAATTCTTCAGGACTAAACCTTCTATTTTGTTTCTTCTTCATTTATATTTTCCTTCTAATTCTTAATCTACTAGCTTATATTTTTAATATTATACTTAAAAATTTATCAATCAGTAGTCTTAGACTTTACATATTAATTAAATGTGTTTTAACACTGTGTCTAGCTTTGTTTTGTTTTCTTAGTTTGATTTCCCTGGCTGTCTTGGAACTCTCTATGCAAATCATAGCTTATAGGTCTCGAACTCACATTCATCCTTCTGCCTCTGCCTCCCAAGTGTTGGGATTGAAGGCATGCACCACCATCCCAGAATCTTTGTGCTTAACTTTAAGACCCATTGATTTGTTAATCCAGATTATTTTCATGTTCATTTCATACTCCACAGTACTGAGATTTAATTGTCTTGCAAGTATGTATTTTCTTGTTTTAATTTCCTTTTATTTCTTAAGCACATATTGGCCAAGCCTATTTGCTAGACAGTTCCAACAATCAATCTTCACAGATTTGCTATAGTTTGCAATTTCTCAAATTAATTAATTCAATTTTTTTTTAAAAAAAGATAGAATAGGCTAACTTTGGACTCTGTGTAGAAAGACCTTCATTACTGTACTCCATTTATGCAATGCTAGGAGTCACACGCAGGGACTTCATGCATGGTAGGCAAGTAAGCGAGAAACTGAGCTACAACCCCATTGCCCAAAGTATTGCTTATTCCGTCCACTCTTCCTCTTTCCATGATCTCATTCACTAGGGACTAACAATGCTTTCCTTTCCATCTGTTTTTTCCTCCTTTCCTCCCTTTCCCCCTCTTTCTTTTCTTTCTTTCTTTTTTTTTAAAGATAGGGTTCCATTATATAGACCTGGCTTTCTTTTTTTTCTTTCAGAGATTTATTTTTCTTTTATGTGTATGAATGTTTTGCCTGCATTTATATATGTGGATTATATGTGTGCCTGGTGCCCAAAAAAAGCCAGAAGAGAGCCTCCAGACAATGAGAATTTTATTTGTTAAGAACTTATAGTTTGGGCTCTGTTCCCGCAGAGTTACTATCCCCCTTACACACGGCAAATCTTAGGGCATTTTGCAGTCTTTCTAACCAGAAGAAGCTTCTACTTAGATTCTTTTGTTTGTTTGTTTGTTTTGAGACAGGGTTTCTTTGGAGCCAGTCCTGGAACTCACTCTGTAGACCAGGCTGGCCTCGAACTCACAGAGATCACCCTGCCTCTGCCTCTGCATCCTGAGAGCTGGGCTTAAAGGCGTGCGTCACCACTGCCTGGCTCTACTTCAATTCTTTATCCTCTTCATTTATTCCAGTCTCAAAATACCACCAAAGAAGAAGTGCAGAAGCACGAACGAAACCATTGATAAGCAAACAGGCTCTTCCCCGCTTCTTTCCTTCCTTCCTTTCTTTCCTTCCTCTCTCTCTCTCAATCTCTCTTTCTCTCTTTCTCTCTTTCTTTCTTTCTTTCTTTCTTTCTTTCTGAGGCATGATCTCTTTATGTCTGCTGGATGTCCTGGAACTCATTATGTAGGCCAGGTTGGCCTCAGGCTCAAAGAGATCCATCTGCCCTGTCTCTGAGCACTGGGATTAAAGACATGGATCACCACACCTAGTTAAAGTATTCGTGTTTGAAAAATAATGCTGTAATTTATGTCATGTTCTTACATTCTTTCTGTTTTAATTCCTATAGCTATGAACTAAAATTCATAGCCCATACATATCACAAATTAAAAATCTGACTTTGTATGCTGAGGTCACTTGTATAAACCTGCCTCCAATGGCTACAGCAAGAAGTTTCACTTTACAAAATGAATTTTAATAAACAAACAACATCTTTTACAGAAGTAAGACAGTAGGTTGCCCATCGGAAGGACACAGCTCAGCAAGCTCTGTCTTCACCATGGGAATGAGCAATTGGTCTAAGAAAGGCGATGGTCCCAAGAAGTTCATAAATTCAACACATAAAGAATAGGCAGCCTGTGAATGAGTTAGAGCCTGAAAGCCTAAGAAACTGTGTCAGGAAAAGCTCTGCGAGTTCCAAAAAATATATATCAAATAAACGTTTCAAAAAAAGAAAAAAAAAAAAGCCGGGCGGTGGTGGCCCATGCCTTTAATTCCAGCACTTGGGAGGCAGAGGCAGGTGGATTTCTGTCAGTCTGAGGCCAACCTGGTCTAAGAGCTCTAAAGGTACAGAGAAACCGTGTTTTGAAAAACCAACCAACCAGCCAACCAACCAACCAAACAAACCCCCAAAAATCTTATAGTTTGACTCAACAAGACATGGTGACCATTTTGTAATATTTTTCATTTATTTATTTCTAGTATTGCAAAATTCATCAACCATAGAAAATTCTCAGCCATGATTTCTACAATTCATTGATGCACAGTTCTAAGACTGCAAAGTAATAATTTAGTACCAGATCTACCTCATGCTCCAAGATACAAAATACCTTAAGAAAACCTGAATTAAATCTGCAGTTTAACTACTTGTATCTGTTAGTCTAAATGCTGGAAATTAATAAACAAGCCCTGTCCAGAACCAAGTTTAGAGCGTGGGCTTTTCTGTGTAGTCATCTGGGGGTAGGTCACCTGTGCTTGACAGTATGGATTTCCGGGTCAACCTCTGTGGGGAAAAGAGCTTTTGTCTGGTGTCTTAGCATCACCTGCTCAAGAGTATGGGTAAGACTCCACTTAATGGTGCAGTTCCACGTAACACCTTAAGTACCCAAGTTTAGGTTGGCCAAAACTGTTTGGGGTTGGTTTCACATAGGCCAAGTCCTTTGAGCTGACCAGCATCCTATTTTGTGAAAGAAAACCATCATCAGGATTTCTATTTATCCATCTAGGTGTCAAGCATATATTAAACAAAAATCTAACCCCACAATATGAACCTGTTCATGAGGGTGTGAGTTCACTACTTCCTCCATCACACCCGAATTATTTCAAAGTCAGTCTGATTCATATTGTGATCTTGACGTGTATTTGCTTTTCCCTAGCCACACCCCTTCCCAGTCTATTTTCTTGATTTCTTTTTGTGCCAATCATCTTTTCCACAACCCCAAGATGCCTGTTTGTCTTGTGACCAGCTACACCTGTGAGACCTGGGTTTTCCTCTGGCTGGCTTCAGCTTGCTTCTTGCTTTGCGAGTATCACAGGCGCGCCACCATGCGGGGCACCCAGGAACATACTTTTTGAAAGCTGCCCAAAGACCACGTAACTAAGTAACTGTCAACGACACAGTAACACAGAGCCAGAACATCCTAGATTGCTTTCCCTTTCGCCAGTGGCAAACCCAGTCCCACCGAAACTGGCTCGCTTGCAAAGCAAGCATACCCAAGCACCCACATTTCTGTGGCTACTCTTGTCTTAGATCCCCTCTCAGCAGCACATACCTTATAGCAGGAACAAGCTTGGGGAGAAAAAGAAAGGAAAAGCTCCAAGATAAAAAGGAAATTGTCTGAGCATGCTCATTTGTACTCAGGGAGAGCAAACTTGGGAATCTAAGACCAATTCAGTCTTTAGAAGAGGAGCTTGGACACCTATGCACCCGGACAGAGAGCTGCACCCTTAAAACGACAACATCAGTTAATTTTAGTATCTGAAATTAAGCGACAGCGAATTAACTATATGGACCTTGTACGAGCCAGTGAACCTGAGGTTTCTGGAAGCTATTGCTATTTCCAGGGCATGACGGATTTCACACAAACACACTTGGGAAAAAAATGGGAATTCCAGGCTACGTGCCCAACAGACTGGGGAAAAACAAAAAAGCAGAGTTTTAAGTTTGAGGATACTTGAAACTACAACCCATTTGTTGAAAAGATACACGGCTCTGAAAAAAAAAAAGTCTTTGAAATCAAGAGTGAAAAATGCCTACTCGGCTGATTTACTTGGTGACGGCCTTGGTACTTGTCCAGCTCCCTGGGTCACGCAGAGATGTGATGGTCGGTCGCTTTTTGTAACGTAGCGCGACTCCTCTCAGGCTATGAGCTCTAAGATGCTGTTGAAAAACGAGTTCATGATGCCCATAGCCTTGGAAGAGATGCCCGTGTCTGGGTGCACCTGCTTCAGCACCTTGTACACGTACGCCGAGTAGCTCTCGTTGCGGCTGAGCTGGCGGTGCTCCTTGCTCTCCTGCGCACTGGTGACAGCGCAAGTCCTCCTCTGGGGCGGGCGTAGATTTAGCCGGCTCAGGCACTATTGTACAAAATTTTAACTCCCTCCAAGAGGAACACTAAAACATTTGGAAAAATAAGCACACCCGTCACCAGCTCCACCATAACCACTTACATTACGCAGTATTCAAATGAGGTTAATAAGATTTCCTTCAGGATTGGATTAGTTTTAGTGTTTCGTCACGAATGGGACCGGAAACTTCACTTGAAGGTCTAGGGTTCCATTGGCTGCCTTGTCACTTCACATTCACCAATCAGGAAGTACGAACTAAACTGCACAAATCTGCTCTAGGAAGCCTAGGCAAGTACGATCACTGTTAAACATGAGAAATACGGAAGTTTTTAAGGGGATACTGCACCAGTGAGAAGTGCAATAAAACTAAGGCGCTGGTTGCAGGCCCTTTCATCTAGCTGACTAGGTTTTTAAATACTAACAATCCCACCACTCTTGTCCTTTATTATCGTGGCACCTAAGATTAAACCATCTCATTCCTATACCAACTGCTCCCTTGCGTCTGGATATTACAGATACCCATAAACGAAGTTAACTGTATACACAATTGGGGAAGTTTCCATTTGTCCTTAGAGAGGTGGTTTGCGCCACCAACTCCCAAGTCCACTTATCCGCCCACACCTGGATGCCCCCCGTCCTTTTCTTCTCCCGCGAAACCCAGCCCACCCACCCAAGCCACGCCCACAGAATGTGCAACAGCTCCTTCCCAGAGATTTGTGGGTGGCTCTGAAAAGAGCCTTTGGGTTGTTGGGCTTCTAAGCAGTTGGCCAAAGAAAATTTACTTTTTCTTGGCTGCGGTTTTCTTTGGCTTAGCTGCCTTCGGCTTGGCGGTTTTTGGTTTGGCCGCCTTGGGCTTCACCGCTTTCGCCTTGGCAGGGCTCTTGGGCGCCTTCTTGGGCTTAGCTGCCTTAGCCTTTTTCGGGCTCTTAGCCTTTTTGGCTCCTGCAGCTGCAGCCGGCTTCTTGGCTTTCTTTGGGGTCTTCTTGGCGGCTTTCTTGGGAGTAGCTGCTCCCGCAGCCTTCTTGGGCTTCTTGGCTGCACCCGCGGGCTTCTTAGCCTTGGCAGCCCCGGTCTTCTTGGCTTTGGGCTTGGACTCGCCGGAAGCCGCCTTCTTGTTGAGCTTGAAGGAGCCGGAGGCGCCGGTGCCCTTGGTCTGCACCAGGGTGCCCTTGCTCACCAGGCTCTTGAGCCCCAGCTTGATGCGACTGTTGTTCTTCTCCACATCGTAGCCGGCGGCCGCCAGCGCCTTCTTGAGCGCGGCCAGGGACACGCCGCTGCGCTCCTTGGAGGCGGCCACGGCCTTGGTGATGAGCTCGGACACCGGGGGTCCGGACGCCTTGCGCTTCGCGCCACCTGCAGCCTTGCGGGCCTTCTTCTTGACGGGGGTCTTCTCGGCGGGGGCCGGTGCGGCGGGCGCGGCAGGCGCGGTCTCGGACATGGCGAAGCGTGTGTGAGAAGAGAGGACTCGAGCCGGAAGCAGAGGCACTGGCCGGGACTCGGGCCGCGGCGCTGCGCCCGCCCGTTTATATAGGGCGGAGCTGCGTCGTGATTGGTGCGCTGTCCAGCCCGCCTCGCTGGCAGCCTCGGAGTGTCCTCTCGGATGCCGAGTTGTGTTTGTTACACCTCAAAAAAAGCCAAAAATGTCAAAATTCCCTACTTCGAATTGCTTGATTTTTCTCAAATAATGATCCCTGAAGCCTCAGCCTTCATGCACATCTCAAATAGTAAGCAAAGTATCAAGCCTTCTGTTAAAAACTTGCGATATTTCCCGCGGTGCTCAGCAAATTTCAACTCAGAGAAACAAAACTTTCTATTTTCTTCGTAAATTATAAACTGATCTTCGACTGTACAGTTTTCTGACCCATCAGAGTCGATTCTCCAAGTGGTTAGCTTCTTATGTGGCCCAAAACCTTGCCACTGGCATTAAGATTTTTATTACAAATCTGCACTTAAGTGGGGGAAGTAACACAGGCTCCTCCGAGAGTCCTGCCTATTGAGCCGAGGGCATTTGAGTTCATCAAACTGGTTTAGTTCAATCTTTAGCAGATTATTTACCATTTTGAGATAAATTCTGCTCCCCTAAGCCATGAGCCTATGTATCTATGGTTTTATTTCTGCCCGTTCCACCTAAGTTTTAAACTAATTTCTTAGGATAATTCTTTTCTTTCTGCTCCCAAGGGTTGGGGGCGGGGCTGTTGCTTTTCCATCTCTCTGGACAACTACTCCATTGGGTTGAGGTACCTTAAATTCAGAGTATAATAGTGTGGGGAGACTCCAAAACATGTTTATGGTGTAGACATGAAAATGTCTAATTTCCAAGTAGTAAATAAATGATGTTCTCGAAGTCTTTGGAAGTAGAGCTGAGCTTTACCTTGAGGAATGTCTTTTGGGTCTTGCATAGATGAGAAATACGTTTTAATATTATGCTATATTAAAACTAGATAAAACTGAAATTGAACCATTGATCAAGAGAAAAATAAGTGAAAAGTGTAGCCCGGAACATCACTACTCCCATCTTAGAGAAACTCAGAGCTGTTACTGAACAGCTGCTCTCCATATATGGCTAATCCTCATGAAGACATTGCCCAAAGTTTCCCAGCTCTCCCTGAATGTAAGTGACATGCAGGGTGATTGAGGAGTTCAGAGTTTAATCTTAGAATCTGTTTTGAGAAGGTATTAAGCAGAATCTTTGTCTTCTGAGGACATGCCTTGCAAGACATTCAAAAAGTGGGTTCAGCTGTTCAACCAAGGAAATGTCTAAGAGGATAATGCAAGCCCAATGACAGTGATTATTTCAGGGATGTTTTGGTGAAATTGTCTTCAGAAATAATAAGGCTCCCATTACAGAGATAAGGTGCAATGTTGGCTAATAGTATAATGTGATAGCTGTTGTTTTGTGATATGATTGACTCTGACTTCAATTGTCATCAATTCCACAGATCCAAACTCCACAAACAATGCTAATAAAGGAAACACAGAAGTTCAACATGCTGTCAATGAGGTGTTTCTAAAATCCTGTAGTGTTGCTGGTGGGAATGCAAGCTGGTGTAACCCCTTTGGATGTCAGTGTGGCGATTTCTCAGAAAATTAGGAAACAACCTTCCTCAAGACCCAGTAATATCACTTTTGGGTATATATCCAAAGGATGCTCAGTCATGCCACAAGGACATGTGCTTAGCTATGTTCACCTGGAAACAACCTAAATGCCCTTTGATTGAAGAATGGATAAGAAAAATGTGGTACATTTACACAATGGAGTACTACACAGCAGAAAAAAATGACAGTTTGAATTTTGCAGGAAAATGGAAGGAACTAGAAAACATTATTTTGAGTGAGGTGACCTAGACACAGAAAGACAATTATTACGTCTTTCTCATAGGTGGTTTTTAAACATAAAGCAAAAAAGCCAATCTACAAATCACAATCCCAGAGAACTTAGACACCAATACGGACACTAAGAGAGACTTGCATAGATATAATCTACATGGGAAGTAGAAAGTAGAAAAAGACAAGATCTCCGTAGTAAATTGGGAGCATGGGGACCTTGGGGGAAGGGAAGAGGCAGGGAGGGGAGCAGAGAAAAATGTAGAGCTCAATAAATATCATTGAAAAAAATCCTGTAGTGTTATCTTGAATGTTAAAATTGATATAAAAGTGATTTACATTATCAGTATTTCTATGATATAAAATATGTCTCCAGTTTCATGTATTAATAAATGCAAGCTGTGGTATTCATTAAAGCTCTGAACCAGAGTAGAGAAACTGTGTGGGTGTTTGATGTTGAAACAAAAACACTTCTGTAAATGATAAGGTTTTACACCACATTGATACTTATTCTTCAGTATCTTTCTTAGTTCCTTTATTTCTCTTTGTCTTCAAGATGGGCATGCACTTAAATTCCCTGAATTTTGAGACAAATCTAGTCCTTTATTTCTTCCCTTTAAGATACAATACATTTTCTGAGACCAAAATTATTCGCTTGACAGAGAAGCCAATGAACATTGCCCAACGTAAAGATTTTGATACTTTTCTGTAATGAGATAGAAACAATATCAAAGGTTTCACTCTTTTACATTAATCTGAGGGTTAAGCTAACAATAGCAGAATTACACATGAATGGGTGAATCTTCACTCTTGTATTTCAACTACAAATCTCCAAACTCAAATCTCCAAATTTTCTCCAGGTGATTCTGACATAAGAGAATAAGACATAAGACTCTTCTTATGTCTCCAAATATGAATGCTTTAGGTTTTGCATAGCACGCTCTTACCCAGCCATGTCTGAGAGCCGGGGCTAGCTGGAATGAATGGAGGCAAACAAACACGTTTCTTCTCATGTGAGTATTTCTGTGAAAATATGGGCTTTCTGTTGTTCTAGTTTGCTTTCTGTTGTAATAAACTCTTTGACCAAAAGCAGCTTGGGGAGCAAAGAGTTTATTTCAGATGACAGGTTATAGTCTATCATTTCGGGAAACCAAGAAGAAAACGAAGACACAAACCTGAGCATAATCCAATTGAGGAAAGCTACTTCCTGGCTTACTTCCTGGCTCATGCTCTCTGACTTTCTTAATATAGCTCAGTCCCATTTGCCTAGGAATAGCCCTGCCTACAGTGGACTGGGCCCTTCTCCATCAATTAGAAATCTAGAAAATCCCCACGGACGCGCCCCTGGCCCAATCTGATGGGAGCAATTGCCTGTTCCCAGGTGTGTCAAGTTACCAGTCAAGATTACCTACATCACCTGCAAAAAACTGGGACCAGACCAAGCTGCCGGATGTGAGCTCCTGGTAGGAAGATGGGGCTGGGGTGCAACTGGGCCAAGGTGAAAAGTTAGAGTTTAGTTCATCTTGGCGGGAGCAGTCTCTGTAGGGGGCCTATCTTCAGGCTGTAACTTCGGGGGCGGTGGCCACAGGGAAGAAAGCAGTGGTGGATGTTTCCTGCCTAAAGTGTCACTTTGGGACCAGATGAAAGCTTTGCCATCCTTCTGAGCTCACTGGAGGACGGCTTTGCCACCTCCGTGAGGCTAATGTGCTGGTTTTTTAACACAACCATGCCTGTGTCAAACAATACACGTTTACTCAGGACTTCACTGACCCTCAACACTCCTGTCTCAGCCTCCTCTGCACTAGAGTGTCAGGTATAACCCACTATTCCTGTCTGCCTTTTATAGCGTTTCTAGGAATTTGGGAGTGTTAGAAACGTAGGACACTCTGGTCATTTCCATTTTGGATAGGTTAGCGAATGTGTTAAGGGGAAAAATGTGATTTTAGAAAAGCCGAAAGAAATTAGGCATGGTTTTGATTCCTTCCACTACACAATTCTGAATTCCTTGCCATTTTAACATGATGCTAGGCATGATCTTTCAAGGCAAATGTATTAAAGACAGAATTTGTGGATGCAATGTTTAAAAAATGAACGGAGTACTTATTAATTATCTTAGGCATCACTTTTCATTTAATTAAAAATAAATAATAAAACTGTGGCTTGTATACCTGGAGCTATACTCTGCAGCAGCATTTGAAACAATAAAAACCAGAAACAATCTTTGTGCCCATACGAATGAGGATGATTTAATGAACAAGGATATGTTCCCTTGATCAACTGATACACAGTTGTCTGAAGAAGGGCTCTGTGAACTAATTTGAACTGAATTACTGTACAGACCTTCAAGTAATAAGACAAACCCAAAAGAATATTCATGCTCTGAAACTCTGTAATAAAGAAGACAAAATAAGAAAGATGGTTTTTGTTCATCTGTATAGAATAAATTCAGGGAAGTATTTATTAAGTATTAAGTATTTAAAGCTGAAGTGATTGCTTACTTATAGCAGGCAGAAGAGAAATAAATAGCTAGAAAGGGTAGCAGGAAGAGAGGATATATTCTTTCATACAACACGAAATTGAAACTGAGCAAAACAAGCTCTTAATTAAGTAATTAAGACCAACAGGAATCCAATCGACTACAAACACTGACACAGGAGTGAAGTTGAATTAAATGAAGAGCAGGAGAGGCCTGCCCAACGCCTCTTGGCCCTAGGTGGTGGAAGACATCCATTAACGATGAGCGTCTCTATGGTGGGGAAATGGTAGAGAAAGAGAAACAGAGCTGTGCTGTGGAGAGAGGGGAAACTGAGGAAGTCAAGAGGGTGAGCAACAGGCTGAAGTGGGTGGCCTGCTTGCCACCCGGGGCCATGGTGATTTCTGGGCCCAGGCTACTGCCCAGTACCACGTCTGAATTTGTAGTCCTACCAGAGCCAGGGGCTGTGCTGATGTCTGTGGCTCATGTTGCCCCCAAAGGCCACACGGCTGCCCAGGGTCTGGACTGCCACCTGTGGCCTTATTGGTGTTCAAGAGCCGTTTTGCCTTTGCGGCCTTGCAGATCTGGGTGGCACGCGCTGCCTCCCAAGGCCATGCTACAGCTGGGGTCTGTGTTGACGCCTATGACCCATATTACTACTGGGGACCTTGTGAGCCACGCAGGTGGAAAGAATCACGCCTTTT